TGAAAGAAAAGGGACTTGGACACTAACAGCATACTATGTACACAGCAGACAATACTAATGGACTTTGGTGCCCATAAATTACAGGGCAAATTTCAGGTACCCGGAGAAAGGATGGTAATGTCTATGTTACCATGAAACTTGGACTCCTACAGATCATATTAGTCTCCTTAAGTAGTTTCATCAGCATCATCTATGAGTCAAATTTCATATTTAAATGTCAAAACAGGCTCATCAATAATTAGGCCTTGGAGCATGTCCAGAGATTAACAGCATGAAATAAATGCTTGTTACAAAACAACTCTACAGGGCTGGGTTTGTATAGCAGAGTACCCAACCAAGTCCTATATGACAGGACAAAGGAAATGCTTTGATGTCAATGTAGAACAAAACTTAAATGTTGCAATAAAATGATAAGAACAGAAACAGACCCCCTCCCCACAATATATACACACAAAGCAAAACAAAAATTGCATAGAGCCACATATTTTAGACTTACAGGGGCTTTTTTGTTCATGTGGCCCAACCAACCTTACTGTATACATGAGGAAACTAAGTCCCAGAAAAGGTGTCCAATGTGATTGAGGCTGGATTCCAGGCCCAATGTCTCCACTCCGCCCTCACTAGACCAGCTTTCTCTCAAAAAACAAGAAGGGGAAGACTGCCATTCTTATTGTTGGCTGGCCCATNTATGTCAGGCACTTGTGAGAGAACAAAAGTAATTAGAATCAACATTTAAGGAACTTATGGGCTAGTAGGGGAAAGGGTGAGACTTGTACATAAACAATATCTGGAAAGTAGTAATTTAGTTGGAAACTATATGGCCTGATTATTCACATATACCACCCAGGGTCATTTCCTCTTTGAACACAGGCAGACAGATTACATTCCCTATGTACCAGTGATCCTGTCTTTCTCATCCTTCACTAGTCCCCAGTTTCCTCCAGGTTAAAGTCCAAGCCCCTGATCCTGGCATGTGAGGTGTCCCACCATCTGTCCCCCTCCTGACTCCACACCCTCATCTTCCAGACCCCGCATCTCCCATCCCAGACCCTCTGCACAGACCCATCTGAATTCCTGAACAGGATAAGCTGTTCATCCTGCCAGCTCTTTGTATCAGCTTTTCCCTCTGCCTGGTTTCCTTCTCCCATGACTTGGATGCCTAAAAATCTGCCCGCTGCTCCAGCATCACCTCTGTGCAGCCTCTCCTGGCTTCTTTCTATCTCATTGTTTGTGCCTAGAAATCTACCTCTGGAGCCAGACTGCTGGGTTCGAGCTCTCCTTTCCAGCTCTGTGACCCTGAGCAATGTTAAGTCTCAAGTTCCTCACCAGGGAATTGGGATTCCTGTTATCTATGGTTTTGTGCAGAATAAAGGAGATTATCTGGGTACAATTATTTAGCACAGTGTATGGCACGTAATAAGGGCTCAGTAAATGTTCACTTAAAATAGTAAAAAAAAAAAACCAGTCAAAGCCATCATACTAATGACATTTATCTGTTAACATTGGTCTTTTCACTAGACTGCAAATCAGAGATCACTTCCTTAATTTTTCTACAATTGTCACTGCTACTAGTACCCATCTGTGGAGTTCTTATTCAATGCAGTTCCCTGGGCAGGGAGCTTTATGTCCATCACCTAACAAATATTTACAGCACCCCACAAGACAAGTATTAGGATCTCCATAGTATGGTTTAAAAAACTAAGATTCAAGAGAGGTGAAACCCTGTCCCAGGTCCCCCAGCTGATCTGTGGAGAGGCCAGGATTTTGCCTCCTGGCTTTATTGCAGAGTTTGTGAGCCATTCATTCATCACATATCCCTGCCTGGCACCTACACAGTGAGCTCGGTAAATATTTGATGAATAGAATTGAATCTAATAAACACTGGGCCGGCCAAGTGGCNTGTCTCTTCCGACTATAATATAGGTTTCATGAGGTCTGGCAGGGACTTTCCATTTTATTTATCACTGTATCCCCAGCCTCTAAAACAATGCATGGAATATATTATGTGCTCAGTAAATATATACTTAACAGGGAGGGAGGGAGGGGAAGAAAAAGAACAAATCTTCCTGGACCTTTTCATCCCTTGCTGTCTAACTTGCCATTGCCAACTTGGAGGAAGATGAATTATCAAGAGTGATTCCAATGACCTGAAATGAAACTTCCAAGCCTGACATGTCTTAATATAACAACTCTGGACATAGGTTGCCCCAGTAACTTCTTTTTTTTTCCCCTCTCTTTTTAAAAATTAATTTTATTATTCGTTTCTGGTGTACAAAACAAGACAATTATTAGACATTTACACACCTCACAAACTGATAACCCAACAAGTCAACTACCTATCTGACACTGTACGTACCTATTACAATATCATTGACTATATTCCCTATTCTGTACTTTATATCCCATGACTATATATATTTTTTTAATTATAGTTGACATTCAATATTATTTTATATTAGTTTTAGGTGTACAGCGTAGTGGTTAGATGTATATAATTTATGAAGTAATCCCCCTGATAAGTCTAATACCCATCTGACACTATACATAGTTTTTATAGTGCTATTGACTATATTCCCCATACTGTGTGTCACATCCACAGGATTCTTTTGTAACCACCAATTTGCACTTCCTAATCCCTTCACCTTTCTCACCCAGCCCCCACCCCTTTCCCATCTAGCAACCATCAGTTTTTTCTCTGTATCTATGAGTCTGTTTCTGTTTTGTTTGTTCATTTATTCTGTTCTTTAGATTTCATATATAAGTGAGATCATATGGTATTTGTCTTTCTCTGACTACTTATTTCACTTAACAAAATAGTCTCTAGGTCCATTCATGTTGTTGCAAATGATAAGATTTATTCTTTTTTATAGCAGAGTAAAACGCCATTGTACAAATGTACAATTTTTTTATCCATTCGTCTATCGGTGGGTATTTTGGTTACCACATCTTGGCTATTGTGAATAGTGCGACAGTAAATATAGGGCTGCATATATCTTTTTGAATTACGTAGTGTTTTGGATTTCTTTGCATAAATACCCAAGAGTGGAATTGCTGGGTCATAAGGTAGTTCTATTTTTAATTTTTTGAGGAACCGCCATACTGTTTTCCATAGTGGCTGCACCAATCTGTAATCCCACCAACAGTGCATAAGGGTTCCCTTTCGTCCACATCCTCGCCAACTCTCCTTGTTTGTTGGTTTATTAATGACAGCCGTCCTGACAGGTGGGAGTGGTATCTCATTGTGGTTTTTATTTGCATTTCTCTGAAGATTAGTGATGTTGAGCATCTGTCTTTTCATGTCTGTTGGCCACCTGTATGTCCTCTTGGAGAAAAGTCTATTCAGGTCCTCTGCCCATTTTTAAATTAGATTTTTTTTTT